GGGATGCTAACTCCAATGTGAGAAGTTCAAAATGATGAATCCCATGTGCTGTTAGCTAGGGGCTGGTACACTTAGATACTGCTCTTGGTTTTGCCTTTAAGCTTGCCCTCCTTCAGATGTAGCCCTCATGTCTCTTGTTGGAGGGCTGGGGGGGATTATGGCCCTCTGTCTAAATTCCTGCATCTAGACTATAGTCTCTCTTTCATAATTCCTGGAACTGTATGGAGTGAGCATGCTCATTTTATACCAACTCTTCTAGGCTGCAAAATAGACTCCCTACAGGCTTTTGAGAGATTGAGATAAAGCATAGACGAATACGGCTTAAAAATAATTGCTGAATATTGTTTCCTCACTATTTGGCATGAACGTTATTTGAACTTAAATCAAGGTTCTTTGGGTGTTTGGCTCCTTTGTAGTACTTGCTTTTTTCTTCCTCTTTTGTGGTTCATCTTGTTTTATTGATTACTGTCTGGTCTCACAGTGAAGCTGTGTTTCTTCCTGTGTTCTGCTGCCTTGTGTTTTCTATCCTTCTCTTGATCCCAGAGCTTCCCTTGTGGCTCTGTAAATCTTCTTCCTTCTACCGGTACCTTAGTTCTTGGCTGCTGTGAAGTGCAAGAGTGGAGGGGAGTTGAAAAAGACAAAAGACCTATTTACGTGAATAAATATTTCAAAATCTTGTGTTTTTAGCAGACCCTTGGTTTATTCAGAGTATGGTTAAAGTTAACGTTTTGTTCTAGCCATTTGATGTGTGCTAAAGACTTCTAACAAATGATGGATTTTATATGCAATGAAATGAATGCACAACAATTTCATAACTGTACGGCTCAAATTCGTGTTACGTGAGTAAGCAGAAATGTGAGCACTTGTACAAACTTGAACTGATTGCTAAAAGTATTTTCAGATCAGTGTAGTTGAGAACTTCAGGGTTATGTGTGCTGGATCATCTCCAAATGTAGGTAACTTTTTTCCACCTTACCTGCTAAGGTTTGAACAAGATTTCGCCTGTTTGTTTTGTTTTGTTTTTTTTCCCCCCTTCGTTCCTCTGAAGTTCTGTGTATATCAGTTCTGTGTATTAACCAACATCTCTTTTATTTTTTGATGCTGACTAGTTGTGCATGCTAGGATTTTTCTTTGCATAACATCTAAAGCAGCCGGAGTTTTTCAAATAAGATATTGTTTTGTACTGGTCATCTCAGTTTTTCAGCAAAACTATGTAAACGTGCATGGGATAGATTAGGTATGAATTGGTCATACTTAATTTATTTTGGGCTTCCCTAACTGATATTCTGTTCTCAACAGTCAAAGGAGAGGCAGCTGGGCTTTTTTGTAATACTGGTGCTGATAGAAGAGGCTGTTACTGGAATAGGAGAAAGTTCTTGTGATGTGCCCACATTGCTGCCACTAAGTTGTAAGTAGGAAACGAGCCCAGTCTTGTACTCTACAATGCTGCTCCTTGGCAAGCTGCCCAGAACATAAAATTTCCACCACACTGACATTTTGGTCAGTCACTGCGGTGTCAGCAAAGCAGATGGGAAGCGAGTTGTCTTGAGACATAGGCTGTGGCTGTTTACTTTAAGAAAAACAGACAGCAACGCTGTGATGAGGACTCTATTACTGTGTTTTGTGATTAAATTCAGTTCTCTTAATGTGAAATTGCCCAATTGGCATCCTCTCATCAATTTCTGTTGTCAGGTGTAGTGAATAATTACAGAATTGAAGATTCCATTTTTATTCACTGAAAAAGCTTTTCTGAAGTCTGTTGCTTTAGTCTGTCATTTGAATACATTGCTTCTAGTTTGGGAACCTCAATCTAATGCTATGCAGAAGTGTTTTAAATCTTTGCTTAGTTTAGAAAAATGTCATCATTTTCTTCATAAATTAGGTTTTATTCCTTTTTCACATGGTAACACTTTTTCATTTAATGTTTTTAATTTAAGAGTTAGATGTTCATAGCAAATCAATAAAAACACATCTAGATAGTTTCTGATTATAGAACATAAAAAGATTTTCAGATAAAATTGTAAGGAGGCATGGGGGTGATCACGTCTTATAAAACTGAGCCTCATTTGTATTGATTTTTTTTCTCAGAAATATTACATTTATCAACAATAGTGGATAGCTTTTTTAGAAAAGGAGACTGAAAATGATATTTGAAGTAATTATATGTGGGACTGGTAGCACCGACTGTGCATTATTTCTTGGAAGCACTTTGATCTTGCCAGGTTGGCGTTTGCTGATGAAACGTTCTAGCAAGTCTAACAGTGAGCAGAGCTTTTCCTCTGTAGGATCTCTGTCTCGTCTGCTGCAGCGGTTGCAAGGCTATGGGAAATGACAGAAGATTAAGGAAAATCTTGTGCTTACAGAATTTGAATGCTGACCTGAAAGACTTTGTGACTTGAAAGACTTTGTCAAGTCATTGAAATAAAACCTTTGCAAATGGTGTCTCGTTGGGTTCAGAAGAGCCTCGGTCAAGCATCTAAAAGATGACTTAACAGAAGCGTTGAATACTCATAGCTTAGTAGCTGGGGCTGTGAACAGATGAGCCGCATAGCGCTACCTATCCTGGAAACTCAAGTTCTAGACAGACGTCTCAGATGGAGCGCTTTGACAATCCTCTGTTTGTTTGCCATTAATAGGGGGACTGGCTCCCGCTGCTGTCCCAGGAGTACTGTGATCCTCGATTAAATGCCAGGTGATTTGTTGTTCTGGTGAGATGCTGCAGAAACATCTGAGGACAGTGTAATAAAACATTGGTGTGCCTGCTGGACTACAAGCATAGTACAAAACGCAAATAGCTGCTCGTCAAGTATTTGTGTATCTGCTCAAGGGAAAGGGAAGGGAAAAAGTATGATGTAAGCAAAGTACATTAATACATGAGAACCAAACTAAGGTTGCGTATAATGTACTTGTCTTTTCACATAGCACAGTGAAGTTTCAAAGGGAATACAAATAAATAATGAGTAACAGACTCTTTGAAATGTTGTCTTAATCTGTTGCCTAGCTTTGGTCTCAGAGAAAATAAATTTGTTTCCCACACTTCTCTACATCCATATTTTTCATCAAACTTTGGTCAATTCTAAGTTTAGGAAATGATTTATCTACGCTTTTAGGAGAAACTGTTATGGCAGTTGAAAGAGGGAGATAAAGTTGCTTTGAACTCTGTCTCTGCAGCCAGCCAGTGCTTTCTGACAGTTCAGTTGTTTAGCTTAAACAATGGCACTGGCGACAAACAGAATTTTGTCTTTTAGGTATGGAAGAAATCTACTTTAAACTCACAACAGCAGGCTTCATAGCTGGTGGAGAGCAGGACTTGAAATGAAGTAGGGTTGGTATGAGCACGTACTGAGATAAACGTATAGATGCTACAGGAGGCCAAATGAAGGCAGAGTAGGGATTTTTCTCTGTGTAGTTCTCTGTTTCTGACTGTCTGTGTGTGTGTGTGCGCCTTTTTTTTTTTTTTTAATTCAGTAATACCCCTGTTTTGTGCTCAATGAGAAGCCAGTGGCCAAATGGAAATAAGCATTGGTCTTTTTTTTCCTCATGCTGCTTCCTTACCAAATCCTGTATTTCACTTGCTGAGGAGTAAAAGTAAGACTAGTTAAACTAGATCACACCAAAGATCTGTCCAGCCCATCTTCTGGTCTCTGTGGCTGGACATAAGTATGAAGATAAAGGTACCTGGCATACTTCTGAAGTGTACCTTCCTGACCACGGCATACTTCTGAAGTGTACCTTCCTGACCAATGGTGCTCTGTGGCTTAGGGACCTCTGAGCTGGCATTTGCAACTGGGCTTTTCTGTTTAATAGCCCATATGACTCTTTACTTCATTAGGCTTTTCTGATCTTCCTCAGATCATCTGTGCTTCTGGTGAATGAAAGCTCCTTTGGCTATAAGTTCCGTATCTGACGTGACTGTAGTCTTACTAATTTTCTTACTTATCCTGACCTTTTCTTTTTTTTTTTTTTTTGCCAGTCTGGCTTCCAGATTCAGAATGGCTTGTTAAACTTTGTGTAGCTTGTACATTGATTCTCTAGCCTGCTTGTCTAGCAGACAGTCTGAGCGCTACTTCAGAGGGACGCTGTTTTCATGTTACTCCTTGTGCTGTAAGCCTTTCATTCTGGCAGCTGTGGAAGAAAGAGGGCTTGATCTGCTTTCTGCCCCAGTAAGAGCTGGGGATGGGTCGCAGAGTAGCCTTTGCTACAGTAATGAGTCCCATTTATTCTTCCTGGTCTTACATCTGGGGAAACGTCTCCCTTTTGATTTCATTTGCTTTTTTTTTTTTCCCCCTAGAAATAATTACACGTTCTGCTACCATTCATTTCCTTTTCTAGTTGGAGAAAAATTCAAATTTCATATTTTCTCCTGTCTGCAGAGGTCTGAATACCAGAGCGTTACAGCTGGCTGGTTTTGTCAGCCTCTCTCCCAAAGAACAGCAAAGTGAAATGGACAGAGACGAACTGCACTAAAATTCAGCTCTGCCTGTTTTGTAGTTGGAAGGTAGAAGAGTGCAAGTCTAAAGCTTGAAACTTAATTTAGAAATAAGTGACCCTTATTGTACAGCGATTCGTTCTGTACTGTTGAGCTCATCTTACTAGCACAAAAAAAGAAAAAGGTTTCTCTAACCTCTCTTCCGCGAGCCGAGTTCTCCGATTCTGACTCTGTACGGCCAAATATTTCAAGGCGACATAAACGAGGCTCAAAAATTGCTTGCTAATTTGGATGCACTGTGGAATGCTCTCTAAAATTCCAAAGTTGCAAATGGAAATTTTACCTGCTTGGTATTCTCTTGTTTGTTGATGAAACCCCTACCCATATTAAGCTGTAAGTGTGCATGTATAAGAGGTAGATTAGTTTTTACTCTTTCTGGTGTAGGTAGCTTCTGTCTTTATGCTACTAACTTGCATATCTTTATCCAAAAGTAGTTTGTATTTTTATGAAATCAGTAACTTGACAGGAAGAAGGCTAAAAATCTCATTTTTTTTTCCCCCCTTCTTTCCAGATATGAGAAATGAGTGTTGGACGCAGAAGATTAAAGCTGCTGGGAATTCTGATGATGGTAAATATTTTTATTTATGTGATTGTGGAAGTTTCAAAAAGTGGCAGCCAAGAGAAGAATGCAAAAGGACGTGTTATTATACCGCGCAGCAAATTCTGGAGAAAATATACTCCTCACAAAGCTTATTGGAATAAACAGCAACAGAAGCTTGATCTGCTCTACAACCCTATTTTGGCCTTGCTTTCCAATATGACTGTGGAAGAGAACTTAATTTCTAACTCTAGTGTTCTCAGCTCCTGTGACCCTGACCCGTGGGTAACTTCGGAGGTTAGTGACTTTGCAAACTTGCCAGAAAGATTTAAAGATTTTCTGCTTTATTTGAGATGTAGAAATTATTCGTTATTAATGGATCAGCCCAACAAGTGCAAACATAAACCTTTTCTGCTGCTGGCGATCAAGTCACTCACACCACATTTTGATAGAAGGCAAGCAATTAGGGAATCCTGGGGCAAAGAGATACAATCGGGGGACGTAACAGTCAAAAGGGTCTTCTTACTTGGACAGACCCCACCAGAGGATAACTTTCCTGATCTTTCAGGCATGATAAAATTTGAGAGTCAAACCCACCAAGACATTCTCCTCTGGAACTACAGAGACACTTTCTTCAATTTAACTCTGAAAGAGGTGCTGTTTCTTAAATGGGTCAGCAGCAGCTGTGCAGATGTCCAGTTTATTTTTAAGGGTGATGATGATGTGTTTGTGAATACCCATCAGATCCTGGATTACTTGAAGAGCTTATCAAAGGACAAAGCCAAAGACTTATTTATAGGTGATGTGATCAAAGATGCTGGACCTCACAGAGAAAAAAAATTGAAGTACTACATCCCAGAAAGTGTTTATGAAGGTTCATATCCTCCATATGCAGGGGGTGGTGGGTTTCTGTACTCTGGTGATCTGGCATTAAGACTGAATAATGCATCTGACCAGGTACTCCTTTATCCTATTGATGATGTCTATACTGGAATGTGCCTTCAGAAGCTTGGCCTTGCTCCAGAAAAACACAAAGGCTTCAAAACATTTGATATTGAAGAGAAATACAGAAATAACATATGTTCCTACACAAACTTAATGTTAGTGCATAGTAGAAAACCTCAAGAAATGATAAAGATTTGGACACGCTTGCAAGATCCACACTTAAATTGTTAAAGTAATGCGCTTAAGTGTTCTAGGTCCCAATAACTTTCCAAGTTTGGGTCTGACTTGGTGAACCATTGAAGCTCCATGTAATAGTTTTCAAGTTTTCTCTGGAAAGTTTTTCCAGTTCTTCTGAAAGTGAGAATAATACTAGAATTTGAGGGGGATGGCATGAAGTCTTGGTCCTGATTTTTCCACTGTTCTAGTGGTCATTATGTTTCAATATTTGTCTAAATTAATTTTTAAAAAGAATTCAAAGGTGTAACTAGCTGTCATTGATTGGTTAGCTATATTGGAAGCAAGAATTGCCTACTACTGTGCATCTTTCGTTAATTGTGATGGTGGAAGATAATTTTTCCTTGAGTAATGTTTGTGTGGGGATGAGTGAAACACCACTGTAAATTGAAAGGTCACTAATTGGGATAAGGTAAAAGTATGAAACACTCGAAAGCAACTAATTTGATTTTTTTTTCTTGTTTTAATATATGGTTTTTGGTCTTTCTGCACCCCTAAAGAGTATTTTCTCCTTTACACGTGATCTTTTGTGCGAAGGGTGGGTACCTGTGTCTAAAGAATTTACCCTTTCATTGGATGATGCTTTTTTGCACCAAAAAAAGGAAAGTATACTATGGTTTCAGCCGCCCTGTAGAAGATAAGAGCTGAACTTATAAGGGGAAGGATTTTGTTTTGGGCTGGGCAGTGGGTATGGTTCTATCTGCTTTTTTTCAAAGGCCACTTGAAAAAAAGCTGACTTGCTACTCATGTTATTTATGTGAAAGGCTACTCTGGTCAGTCCTTGTTTTCTGTTTTGGCACTAAAATGATCAGGTAGCTTGATTTGATGCAAATAACTGACATTGCACACTGCTTATGAGAGCATGGTTTGGATCACTCCTATAAAGTGGTAGCAAATCTAGAATTGTGCAGATCCTAGAAGTTTTGAGTTTTGAAACAAACTTTGAAGTTGCATGATGTCTCATGTAGAGTTAAACATGTTCTCAAAACTCAGATTTTTTTTTCTGTATTTCCACATCTTGCTTATAAGAGTTATTCTGAATAGTGATTGCTTCCTTTGTATATGTAGAAGTGCCTGTCTATTTATTGTTCAGATTAAAGACCAAAACATTTTCTTAAATATATTTTGTGAAACATTTTATTTGTATAGTGTTGTCACTCAGATATTTAAATAGAGCATGATATTTTAAATCTGTGAGATGTGTAACATGTTAAATAAAGCTAATTGTTATTTTTGAATTTGGAAAAATAAAATGTGATTTAAATATTTCTTGCAATGCCTCATGCTTGATTTAATGTTGGCTTACAGAGCTGTTAACGCTCTACTGCAGTGCTTTCAGTAACAACCTGTTTGAAAACTTTCGGAGTAAAAGACTTTATTCAGCAGCTGCTGCTTTTTAACACCCGTGTGGTAGACTGTCTAGAATGTGATGTCATAGTGTTGTGCCTGCATATGTTAGATGCCATAGTAGACGGACAGCTCTAGCAAGAGAACATTAAGTGCCCTTGGAAGAATAGTTCCTACAGAAATCATTGCCTATATAATAATCCTGCTTATACTGCAATTGAAAGGAGTCAAAGGATGGATTGGAGGACTGGCAATTTAATCTAATTTTTATTTAAAATAATTTGGCAACAGCATCTCTTTTGGCTTCTTCCCCTATTTTTTTGTTCCTTCCTTTACCTTGAAGAACAGGTGTGGTATTTCTTGGTTTGGGGAGAACAACTGTGGCTTTCCATTTTTCTCTTCTGTGGATGTTCATGGTGGACCCCAGGGTAGACTAATGGAAGTCAGAGCTCTAGTGCTGAGCTGTGAGGCTTGGTCCCACTGCTTTGTCGCTCCTCATGAGAAAGCACGTTTCTTCAAAAGATTCACAGACTGACTGACTGTGCGTGTGTTGCTTCCTACTCTGCCTAGCCACGTTAGAGTCCTGTTGCCTTCTAAATTTTTGTGGGATTTCTGGCAAGAGCCTGGGCCAAGTGAAAGGATGGAAGTTAGGCAGATGACAGGGAATGCAAGTGCTGAAAGTCTCCACAGACTGAAAAGAGAGAGAGGAAGGTGGGTAGTGCGGGTGAGCAGAGATGTGGGACAGAGACAGACAAAAGAGGAAGAGATGCAGCTGAGCACTACGTCTGAAGAGGAACTCCAGGGAAGGATCAGAGAGAAATGAGTGGCGTGCAGAAACAAAGGGACAGGAAAAGAGCCCAAGAATTAAATGTGATGAGTAAGACAGGGTAGAGTATATAAATCTGGGGTAGAGTATACATATCTGTTATTAACCTGTTAGTGAAACGGATGGGAGTGGTGGGGTGCCAGCATTAATTTGCTTCCCGTAATCATGAGATTAGAAACAGGCCTCTTGTACCGGGAACAGCCGAGAAGGGGGGGAAAGCAGACTGAGTGGTACTGGGCAAGGAGAAACATGGGGGGAGGGAAAAAGCATCACCTACCTTCCTAAGCGACTAAAGAAGAGAAAGGAGGGAAGAGGAGAAAGGGGAGAGGTGGCCCCAGTGGGCTAAATCAGAAAAAGACATTGGAGAGGCAATTGGGCTTGCTAGTTTTGTCCACTGGATGTGGCGAGGCTGCTGGCTGTTCTGTCCTACTCAGTCTCCAGTGCACGCTCATGGGGAAAAGAATCGTTTCGACAAAATAGTGGGATGTGTGGAGTAAAGAGTAACATGAAAGAAATGAGAACAAGGAGGAGGAAATGGGCTGCAGCTGGAAGAAACGGCTTGGGGAGGGGGGGATCCAGTACAGTATTAGCATTGGGAATGTGGAGATTTGGGGACAGCTGGGACCTGAGGACCAAAAAAAAAAAAACTTTAAAAAGCAGACACAAGTTTAGATTTTTAGATTTTGACATCCAATTTACTGCTTTTGTGCAGGTTCCTGGTTTTTGTAGCATTGGTTGAGTACTAGGTACATTAAAACAAAAGTGGAAGTGATATAATTAAAGCAGGAGTTAATTTTTAATATGATTTTGTTTCTTAAGAAGTAAAGTTGAGTGAAGAGCAAGAATTGCTGATAGGGTGTTAAATATAGAAATGACTTAGAATTATTTAGTGAGAAGGAAGTGATCTGGTAAACATGGAGAGCTGAAGATGGAGTTTTTTGGTTAATTCAAGGCGGAGGAAGGGGTGTGCTAAGACAAAAGCACGAGGAAAACTGCAAGGAGAATAACAGAAATAGCGTCATCTGAAAACTGAAATAAGAGGTGTTAAATGAGTCTAAATACGGATGCGGTCTTGTCTTTGTTTTGTTTTCCCCCTGAACATAACAAGGAACATAAAGCGCTTCTGTGATTAAATGACGTTGCGTCGGGGTCAGCCGTTACAGTCGGTGAGCTCGTTGGCACGCTGAGCCTCTGCTTCTGGCCCCAATCTTCAGAACGGTCCGTGTGTTGGGAGACCGGTGATACGAGAATTTGTGACAACCAAAATCCTCTCTGCTTGTCAGTGTACAGTTGGAAACGCTGGGAGCCAAACTTGTGAAGAGCTTTATCTGGGGAATACAAGATAAATGCAGATTCGAACTTAATAAAACTTTTCACTTAGGCATGTAATTCAGCAGGGATCCGTCTCCATGGACACGTGCAGGTGGTTGTTAATTTTGGGCTTTGTGCTGTGGTAACAAGCAATTTAGCTCTCACTTTCTGCCTCTGTTGCGCTGATTTAGCTTTCACTAAACAGTTTCTTCCCTGAACTGTGGCCGCCTTTCCCTTCCCTTCTGGCTTGTCATGCCTCATAGGGGTAAGATTTCCACTGGAGCTGTGTTTGCCTGAGGGCACCACCACAAACAGGTTCATGTCTACGCTGCAAACTGTTCCCTTGTCACAGAATAATCCTGGAACAAACTTTGCAAGCAAATAGGGCAGGGAGGAGCTGCGTAATTGATCCCTTTACAAACAATAACGCATGGAGAAGTTTCTGAGAAGACAGCCTGAAAAGAGGAATGTTGAGCAGGGCTCCTGCGGTGAGGCAGTGGGAGCACAGCGCATCACTCTTCAACTGCTCTCCGGGCTTTTTAAGCCGTCGTCCTGCTCACGGCTGGAGCAAGAGGAGAACCGGAGTGGAAGTGAACTTTGTCAAGCAAACTCGAATCTGGAAGCTAAGTCTTGGCCAACAAGCTCCATGTTATGCAAAAAAAAAAAAAAAAGAGACTTCTGCTGATGCTTTTTTGGGGGTTGTTTTTTTCCCTTCGAGAAGGAAAAGTGAATGAAGACAAGATTAGAAAGGGACACTTGGTCTTAACTTGTCGGGAACATTTTGATGTCTTCTTGTCCTGTAGCTGTGCATCATATTACAACTGCTGTGCCACGAACTGGAAGATCAAAGTGAAATTTGTAAATGGCAGGCCGGATGGAAAACAGAGCAGGTCAGTTTTTTGTTTTTTTTTTTTTCTTTTCCTAATCTCAAACCAGGTCTTCTGCGGCTAAAATCTAATCACAGTTTTGTAACGTTTGCATTGGCTCAGGCTGCTCGAAGCAGTGTTTAGACAGCCCTGCCTACGCTCTCACGCGGCATGGCTGAACAGCAGCACATGCAGTCAGTCCATCGATTTACAACCCGTTTTCATTTGTCAGGAGAAACATTTGTACCCTGGCAAACAACTGACTAAACAAGGTGCATGAGCTCTTAGCTTGTCTTGCCTGCACTTTGGGGGTCTATTGACATTTAAGTAGGTACGGAAGAAATCTGTGTGTTCGCAAATGTTCTGTTTCCCACCCTTCTTAGGGTGTTGTTATAGTTATCTTCTTTTATTGTCCTGCAGCCCAGGGACTTCAGATCATGAACTACGTGCCTATGGACTTAGCACTTTTCTTTATTGCAGGGTCTAGGGCGCTGGACAAGGTGGAAGGATCCTGGAGGCCTCGATACCCTCTGCTGGGTAAGTTCATAGCCCAAGGGCTCAGTTCAGATCACGAGCACTGTACCCGGGATGTGCTATGATCCAAGAGGGCTGGCAAATGTCACTCGTTTCTAACCGTAGGTGTATCGGGGTGTCTGTTATTGTGGCACGGAGGGAAGCCCTGAATGGTAACGAAGAGGTGGGAATCTCTGCTTTCGGGGTCTTTCCAGCTGCTGTTGGTTAAACTCTCTAAATTTGCTGACCGTAGGTCAAGCTCTTCTCTCCGTCTTGCCCCTCTTGCTTTTGAGAGGTGGTTCACACGGATGCCTACCACGTTCCCTACCAAAGGAGCAAAATGAGAACTGTCACATGCCACCAGAGATTTGTCACGATAGAAATTTGCCTAATCTAGAATTGTATAGAGAGAAAACTCCCAGCTGACCTCCTTAATCCCAGGCTCCTTAACTCGCTCTGCTTGTTCAGCTGATGACCTGCAACAGTTTTTCCAGTCTTCACTGCTGAGGACCCTGTCTAAATGCATCCGTGTTTCTTTCCATGTTGTTGTCATGTCTTTCCTCCTCTTGCCTAGCTGGCTTTTAGCATCGTTTCCCAGGGGAGTCCAGCACCCACCTCACCGTTTCTCCTCTCTTCCAGGTTGTCTCAGATGTTGGTAGAGGGCTAAGGGCTCATGTGCCTCACTCCAATAAACCTCAGGGCTCTTTGTATTCACTGAAACAGATGGATTTTTCCCCTCTCTGGCAGATGGGAGTCAAATTCCTCAGATTAAGCAATCTTAAGGTACTTGTTAATGATTTCATGGCTTCATGCTCAGGGCCAGGCCCTTGAACTGTGGATGAAAGAGTTTTGGACAGTGTTGTTCACTTAAAAACACCTGGGGATTCAGTTTGTGTAATTAAAAAAAAAAAAAAAGCTGACTTCTGTCATGGGCCGGATCCAAACTGGTTCAAAGAGTGGATGGAGTAAGTGGGGCAAAAAAATGCTGATCTGCAAATCAAGCTAAGATTAATTCTGATTAAGAATTTATCTTTTCTCCTGTCACTGCCATTGTCATTTCTTCTTCTCTAAGCAGTACTGCTCTGGGCAGGTTGGGAGAGAGTTTCTGCAAGGATTGGAAATAACCCTTAAGACCCCTGTCAGCTTTTAAAGTTGAGCGCCGCATGTTCCCGTTGAGCGTTTCTTGGGCTACGTTTGTGTGTCCCTTCCCTCTCTGCCTCCATCCCTTTGCCTGCCCTTGGGCTCAGCTCTCCTTCTGGCTGTTTCTGCTGCGCTAGGGGCTCGAGCAGGATTAACGCACTTACACGTTATGCCAGCGGAGCAGCCGGAGTGCCTGGGAGCGTTTGAAAGAGCTCAGTAAAACCTGTGACTTCCTTTTACGAACCCAAGCCTTGCATTTGAACAGTGACTTTGAGTTATGACTCTATTAAATTAACAAACAATGTCATTCTTTGAGTCACCTCTTTCCTGTTTCCGTACTTGCAGGATCACTCGCTTTCTTAATACTTTCTTTATAGTTTGTGCTCTGTTTCTTTCTTTTTTTTTTTCCCAGTATCCTGTAACATTAAATTATTAGCTGTTGTGGTAAGAGTTGGAAAAGATGTGAGATTTATGTTCAGTGTATATAACTGTTAAGCCAAAGGGGCAGGCTAACATCTGTCAGCCTTTTACAGAAATCAAAGCTGCTCACCTTGCGAGTAGAGGTCAGATTAAGAATGTTATCCATTTTTAAACCAAATTTTTATGGAGGTTTAAAATATTATACTCGTCCAATGACATTATTGAAGAAAAGTAAAAACATATTTGTGTGTGTAGACATCCCTTGTCTTTTTCTTCTTTCTCAAAAAGTGCATCTGTTATTTGCATTTTGCATTTATTATTGTCCAACATGCAAGCATACAAATGACAGGAAAAAAAAAATCCCAACTGAAGACATTGCAAAAACTTTCAGATAGGAAACAACCAGGGTGACAAGTAACAGGCTAAGCAAAAGGAATAAATAACCTATAGCTTAGAAGGCACGCACAGTGTGAGAGAATATTTTTCAAGGATGTATAAATAAATGAATTGGTCACAATATTTTCCATTTCCTCCAGGCTTTCTGCAACGTGAGGAAACAAAGGCCAGCTTTGGAGGTAGATTTGGCAGCTGCCCATAAAATTTCATCGTCTTATTAGTTATTGACCACTTCGCTTAGTAGAAAATTAATCTTTGTCAGAGAGGCCAAAGGATGGTTCTGTTTTTCTTAAATTGATGCTGCGTAGTCTCGCTGCAATCCCAGGTGCTCAGCAGAAGCATTAATGACACTTAGATGAGGACAGAGATGAGTATCGCTATCGGGGAGGTCAAAGCATAAGCGATGATTTTGAATACCTAGAAACTGGATGAATCTCGAAAGCGATGAGCAGCACAACCCAGGGTTGCTAGTGCCCTTCAGGTGTCGTGTCGGTTCCTCACGTAGAGCTGCCCGTCAGTTCTCTGCAGGAACAGTAGCAGCGTCGTTCTAGTTGGTTGATGCTTTAAGAAGAGCCGTATGGGGTCAAAGCAGGACCAGGCTGGTCCTTCAAGCCCCTCGTCTCTCTCGGGTGCTGACAGCGATCAACAGCAAGGGCTGAAAGTATTAAGGGTCGCTCCCTCGCAATTCGGGGCGGACGCGATTGCTTTCCCCCCTTGCCTGCCAACCCCGGCAATCCAAAAGCCTGAAAATTTGCGTTGAGCAGTAGAAACCCACCTCTTGCTCAATGAGAGCCAAAACCCTTCTAGGTCTCAGAACAGGGGCGTTGAGCAAAGCGCTGCATTGCGCGAGCCTTGCCGCAAGAGCAGCAGCGCTGGCCCGTAGGGACCCTCCCACCATCCGCAGGGTGCGTCGGTGCTACGGCCATCGGCGATCTAATTAAACCGGATGCCCCGGTGATGCGCTAGTACCAAAGCATGAGAGCAAAAAAAGGGAGCTTTTGTAGGCAGTTATCGCTTAAAGGATGAGCAGAGCTTTTTTTCCCCTCATGAACTATACCTTCACGTGATACGTTTCAGCAGTTCTTGTTTGCCGATGATTATGCATTTTTTTCTTCTGCTCTAACTTCCGGCTTCCTAATTCCTGTCCTTTCTCCCTCCCAGGAAAGCAAAAGAAATCACCGTAGCGACGAGTGAAGGAATATTCTTGAAAGCGCAAGAAAATTGGTGCCAGATCTGCCAAAAGAGGGGCATTACAGAGGAGTTGCGCTTGGGCCGCTCACCGAAGCATCTCAACCGTTGGCAAAATGTTTGCCTTCAGGCTGACTTTGGAGCTGATTGCCTGCTGTTCGCCATGCCAAAACTGCATTCTTCTGCTCGGGTTTTCCAGGCCCGGCTGTTCTGTGTGTTGCCGAAGCAATGCGATGTGTTGTGGCTGCAGCCGCCTGCTCGAAACTTGCCCTGCTTAAGGAGACCATCCCAAAACAGGGAAAATCCCAAAGGGGACCCACCTGAGTATGAGCTAAAAGAAACCAGGGGAGAGGATATTATACTCATAAGCGACCAGCTGAAAGCAGAGCCACCCTCTCTCCTGCCCCCAGATACCCTCAGAGGAGGGGAAAAGTACGTGAGAGCCCCCTCGCGTGCGCCTTCCCGGGTGGCGGAGCGGTGCACAAGGACCCGGGAAGGCGCACGCGAGGGGGCTCTCACGTACTTTTCCCCTCCTCTGAGGGTATTTGAGCTCATCGTTAGGTCACTATTAATTACCTTAAGTTTTCCACTGAAGTTTTTAATAATACTTGGTAATTAGAAGGGTTCCTCGTTCCCCAGCTCTGGAAGTGCCTCAGTTCTGCAAAAAAAACCCCAAACCAAACCAAAAAAAAACCCAGCAACAAAACAAAACCTCTGCCAGGGGCGTATCGTTCAGCCATCCTGCGTTTGCTTAAATGCAGCAATATTGCCTTAACATCATATTTGAAACCTCCTCCGCGCTACCACCTACTTCTCTTTAAATTCCTCTTTTATTTCTTCCTTTTTTCCTTCTGGTCTCCTCTGAATATCCCCGCGCCTGGAATTTGTCCTTTAAATAATATATAGCGTGGCGTGACTCCAGCCTGGGCTCTGGGGAGTTTCGTTCGTGTTAAGATTTGAAAATCTGTATAAACACATCCTTGGAGGGGAAAAGAAAAAGAAAAAAAAAACCCAAACCCTGGTATTTAAGAAAGAGGATAAAGAGTTAGAAGATCTCTTACCAGCTGCATCGTGTCCTTCCGGGCTGACATTTGGGGGGAAAAACGTAAAACCGCTGAACCTCAGCTCCGGAGTGCTTCCCCACGGGCTCATGGGGTTCCTGGCGAGGGGAAAGAGCGTCTGAGAATAGATCTATATAAAGATAGATGTTCCAAATATAAATATAACTGAGACTATCCATTAATGAGTGGCTAACGAGGGGTTTGTGTGGGCTGTTGGCGGACGGGCTGTTGCCCCCGGCGCCGGTT